CACTGCCTAACCCAGCACCATATGTTCGAAAGACTGCTCTCTCCCCGTTGCGTGGGCTTCCACACCATGTAAAAATCCATTGACCATGAAGAGGAGGGTGGTGTCGGGTTTTGTCCCCTGCCCACTCCCAGCTGAGCAGCCATGGGCAGGTCATTTCCCTCCAAGACTCTGTCTTCCTCAATTGTGAAGTGGGCCTAGTAGTGTTTCCTGGCTTTTGTGTCATGCAAGGGCGTAAAAGTGAGATCACAGCAAGACAACCCTACAAGCTGCGGCCCAGGGCCCTCTGTCACCTCAGCTACGGCCCTCCCCTGCCTGGGCTCTGTGTCCCCACCTGGACTCTGCAAGAAGGTAGGAGCATCTTGGGGTCCCAGGTGACCTTGAAGCCGTGATGTGGAATCCCCTCAGAGGAGGAGTGGGAAGCAAGGTGGCTCTCCTGCCTTTGTGTTTGTCCCAGATCCGAGGCAGGCCTGCTGGCCCAAAGCCCATTCTTACAGGGTTGGATCGAGCAGTTCTTATTTTAGAACAAACCCACAGGAGTGGAATCTTCCCAGAGCCAAGGGGAGGTAAACAAAGGGGCCTCCAGAACCTACTCACGAGCTCTTGTTTAAATTAAGAGGAAAACATGTTTTGCTCCCCTCAGCATGGGCTTGGCGCCTTTCATGTCTGTCCTCCCGAGGAAGGCGGCAGCTGGGAGGCCTTGAGGTGCGGGATGATGTTTGGGTCTGTGGCTGGGTGGTTTAGGATTACCAAACCACGGCCCTGGCTGCAGAACAGCTGTTAGGAGCTGCTGAGGAGGCTCGGCCTCGGGGAACCTCGGATGGGGGCTTGGCGCATCCACTGGCCTCTGAGTCACCAGCACAAGGTCCGGCTTCGGGGACTAGCTTCAGCAGCAGGAAGTGAACCCCACTCCTGCAGAGGAGCCGGGGGGAGCCCTGGGTTGTGGTGAGAGCCTTAGCCCATGTCTGCTCACGTTCCTTGAGACTCTGGGATGAGGAGAAGAATGCGAGGGAGGCCAGAGCTGGCCCTCGGCTGCTATGTGCCCACTGGACACCCCTCTCCAGTGGGCCACTCACACAACCTTGAGCACCGGTTACAGGGAGACTCTGTGACAAGGCTCTTGGCCCCTGGGGAGCCCCTTCCCAACGCCAACATAGTGGGCATACGTTGGCTGATTTAAATAACAGCAAAGCTCTGAAAAGTTCCCATAGCCGTGATATTGTTCCTGGTTTCCAGATGAAATATCAAAACCAACAATGCCCGACCAGAGCGAACAGTGTTCTGCAGGGGGGCAGACTTGTGATAGGGCTGCAGTGGAGGGGGCTGGCCTTCTTGGGGTGCTGAGCCTTGGGGGACAGGTGCAGGCCACCCAGCTGGAGAAGAGAGAAAAGGGCCTGGTGAGGCGGTGGTGGTGACAGGGGGAGGGGCTGGGAGAGGTCACTGTGAGGGCCATGCTCTGAGGCTTGGAAACCAAGGCCTGGAGAGGTGGCAGCTCAGCTGTGTCCTCCCTCCCGTGGTGTCTGCTCCTCCCCCCCTCCCCGTGCCCATGCTGTGTCTCCTTGGCAAGAAGGGGCTTAGGTGGCCATCAGAGTGGTCATTTAGAGGCTATGGAGTGTAGTGATTTGGGGACAAGGGTCCCAGGCCCAACTGTCTACCTTAGGCAAATAGCCCAGTTCTCTGGGGCTTAGTTGGGCCGGTGAAGTGGGCTGAAGGGCAAGTGTGCAGAATATTCAGGAATAGGCCGGCCCAGCAGCCTTCAGTGGGATGAGGCATCGAGGCTGGTGGGTCCTGGCCCTGGACACCGAGTGGGATAGACTGCCCTCCCCTGCCTCCCCAGCAATGCTGGTCACAGGGAATGCCCTCTCCAGGTTTATAGACAGAGACACCTAGGCAGCAATCAAGAGCCTGTTTGAGAGTGCTTCGAAGAGAGGCTGTTGTTGTTGGGGGGTGGGCCTGGCATCTCCAGTGACTCTGCCTTGAGGTCTGAGTGACAGGTGATGACCGGGCCACTCCTCTCAGGAGTGCTGTTCTGAGGAGCCAGGCATGGAAATGGCCCAGTAGGGAGGAGACAGAGGAGGTAGCAGGAAAGGCGTGGGCCTTCCTGCCATGGCCTGGCTCCAGCATTCTGGCAGGGGGTGGACAGTTTCTGGGGACGTTTCTAGCTGCTACTCTGTGAACTCAGCAGTCACGACCCCCCACCCCACCCCACCCCGGCCCACAGTGAGAACCCCCTACCCACGGTGGAGATTGCCATCCGGAACACAGGGGATGCTGACCAGTGGTGCCCGCTGCTGGAGACTCTGACAGATGCCGAGATGGAAAAGAAGATCCGCGACCAGGACAGGAACACGAGGTATCCACACCCCCACCCCTCCAGGTCCCTTACAGCTGGCTCTGACCAAAGGCACTGTCTTGAAGGCAGGTGAGGGATGTGGTGACCTGGTTTTGTTGGGAACTAAGTTGCCAAAGGCAGGTCCCTGGGTGGATTTCCCTGCAGGGAACAGAAATAAGCCCTCGGGTTGGGTCTGACCACAGTCCAGACCTACACATCTGGAGCCCTGGAGAGGTAGGCGGGACCTGAGCAAGCTGGAGAGAGGGCAGACTTAGGGCCTCCAGCAGCAGACAGGCCCAGGCCAAGTGGGGCTAGGGATCCTCCCTCTTATCATCCATGTCCTATCTCTGTCCCCACTCCCCCGGCTGCACTAGAGATCCCTGGGGGGCTCTGGGTCACTCCTTCTCTCCTCCTGCAGGCGTATGAGGCGTCTTGCCAACACTGCCCCAGCCTGGTAACCAGCCTGTCGGTGCATGGCTCCCACGGAGCATTCAGAAGATCGGACCGCCTCTCCTTCATCTCCTGGCAAGGCAGGAGGCAAAGTGGGCAGGCCGGGGCCATCCTGAGGAGCATGGGGTGTGGGGAGGGTTTCCGGTCACCCTCCCCTGGGCACACATTCCAGTTTCTGAGCCCCAGTCCCCACCCAAGTCCCTGGTCAGAAAGAGGCCTCATTTTTGGATTGTGTTTTGTTTTTGTATAGGAGCCCCAGGTAGGGCTAGCGACACTTTTTAAATAAAGACAACAGGTCATGTTCCATTTTTTCAAAGTGGTAGCATAAAAATAAGAAAGGGGACGAGGAGCAGGGTCTGGCTGGGTGGCGTGTGGCCAAGGCCAGCACACCAGGCCTCTCGCCCTTCTGTGCCTCAGAGCCCCAGGCGGGCAGGTGGGGGCTGAAAAGGCTGCATCCGAGGCCCTCAGGCCCTCAGCCCGCTACCCACCACCTGTGCCATCCTCCAAGGAACAGAAGTGAGGCCGAGAGGTTCAGAGGGCGGGGGCCGGCTTACCTGTCAGCGACAGCCCCACCCTGTTCCAGCTCCACCCCAGCTGGAGCCCTGAGCCCAGCCAGCAACTCTCTCAGGTGGGTCTCAAGGAGTAAGACAGACGGAGCGGCACGCCTGCCTGGGGCTGGGGTGGGGGGTTGTGGTATGTCAAGAAGGGAAGCACAGCCCTGGGCCTCTCCTCAGCTCTGCATCCTTGTCCCATGGGGAAATGTCCCCACTCTACAGAAGGCATGTGGGCTCCACAAGGGTGGCATGTGCGGGTCTCCTCACGGAGCCAAGCAGTGCTTGGTGAACTGAGCCCATGGCTGCAGTCTTGCCGAAGAGAACAGACCCCAACACCAGGCGGCTGCCATTAGCTGCTGCTGCGTCTTCCCTGTTGGGTCAGGGCAGCTCTGCTCCCCGGGCATGGCAGGAGCATGGTGCCACCTGGCTCCCAACCTGAGCCCCACACTGGCCAAGGGCAGAGCTCTTGAGTAGGAATTGGGGTCTTGGTTGCCAGGATATAGGGGTAGATGGGCCTGACTCTCTGGGCTGGGGGTCCTGTGATCATGTCCTGGGACATGACAGCTCCTAGCTCCTGGCAAGTTTGTACTCGGGCCCACTGCCCTTCATCCAGGAGTGCAACTTGCTGGAGCGAAGTTGGGCTTCACTGGAAGGCCCTGAACAAAGAGGAAGATTCCAAGACTGGGCTCCCCTGGCCTTGGAGACAAGTGGGCTCCATTGCTGAAGGGTTTGCTTGGTCCATGTGCCCCTGCAACTGGTGGGATGGACTGAATACTGCCCGCCTCAGCCCCTCTGGGCAACCCAGCCCAGTGCTCCTACAGAGCCAGCTGCAACTCCACATGGTTTCCCTACAAAATTAAGGTCATACTCCATGATGAATACTTGTGTCATCTGTGAATGTGACAGCCTAGGGCTGGAGGAACGCCTTTGCTGCTGATCATCAAAGAATCAACTGTAATTCTGACTAGTCTAGGGCAATGAGGAAAGTTGGCCAGGCTGTCTGGTACCCGCTTTACCAAAGAAAAAAGGTGAGCTGTGGTATCAGATCAGGCTCCCATGGTCCTCAGCTACAAATATCAGGGAGAGAACTTTGCAGAACTCTGCCGAGGTGAAAATTTCTCAAAGCTTTGGGGTTGCAGAAAGGGCAGAGGACCCCGGTCCTGGACCTCTCCTGCACCTGACTTCATGGAGCCTCAGCCAAGTACCTTGGCTGCTCAGCTGGAAAATGGGGCAAAGGTCCCCTTGTTGCCTGTGAGGGACAGAAAGAGCCAAGTGAGGCATCAGCCTGAGGGTACCATGGGCAGGAGCCCCTAGGCCTGGCATGATGGGAACATCCCAGTCCTGGCCCCAGCCAATAAGACCTGGCCAACCCCCTTGCTGCCTGGCCTGGAGCAGAGATCAGTGCAGGTGGGATTTGCCCAAGGCTCCATCAAGGTGTTGGCAAAGCTGGAGTAAGAACCCTGGGTATGCCATCTGTGAGCTCAAAGCTGCTGGGCAACTGTGGGCAGGTTCTTGACCCCCTTTTGGCCTCCCATCCTATCACCTATAATTGGTCTGAGAGGGCAGGCCAGGGTTGGTGGCCCTAGATCAAGGCCAGCAACACCTGCCCAGCTCTGTGGAAGGATGTGGCCAGCCAAGGCAGGGAGCCAGTGCTGCGGGCAACGAGATGCAGGTCATTCTGTTTATTTGGGTGGGCCCTGGGCACCAGCCCAGTCTCCAGGACAGGTTGCTCTCCTGTAATCGAGAGTTAGGGGTAGAATGGAGGCCTGCCAGAGGCCAGGAAAACAGGCTGGCCCTGGGTAGGGTCATTGCTGCAGGGGTCCTGGCTCCTCCTCCGGGAGGGGCAGGTAATTGGGGTCCTCCTGTGGGGCATCCAGTAGCAGCTTCCTGTAGGGAGGGGCCCACACTGAGCTGAGGCCAGCGGGCCTTCCCACTGGTGCAGGGAGCCATCTGAGGGAGGGTAGCAGAATTATCTCTAGCACTCACAGGAAACTGGGGGTCAGCAGCAGCCTCTTGCCTCCAGGCTGGTTGGGGAAGACGTCCTCTAGGAAGTAGTAAATGTGGCCCACAGCAATCCCTGTAGGAGAACCCTGGATGGCTGAGGCCACTCTCCAGGGTCCAGAGCCCGAGGCCCTCACAGCCTACTCCCTGCCTCCATGAGCAGGCAGGCCAAGCAACCTCAGGCCCCAGAGTATGAGTACCCAATGTTCTGCACAGACTGCCAGCACAGGGTTGACCTTGAAGGACAGGCTTACCTGGCCCAGAAGTGGGCAGGACGTGGGGAGGGGAGGGCCTGAGAACGTGGGAGGAATAGGAGCCAAGGCTGGCACCTTGACACACCTATCCCCATCCCTGGTCAGGACCCACATGAGCATCAGTACACCCGAATATGGGGAGCCCATAGCTGGCTGGGTTGTTCAGGGGCCGGGAGAACAAAGGAGCTAGAAGGTCCGGAAGAGGGGTTGGGAGGACAGGTGAGAGTCCTCCCAAAGACCATCAGGTACCAGATGGCCTGTTTGGGGAGGGCGGATGCACAGGCAGGCTTACCCAGCAGGTCCACGAGAATTGAGTTGCCCAACAGCAGAGAAAAACCCATGAGCGCCCAGGGCAGGAATGGTGCCTGGAAGGTGAGGAGGCCGAAGAAGTTGACTCTCACTTGGGGGTTGCGGCGGCTCCATACATACACCAGCATGACTGTGAGTGCCTGGCCCAAGAAGAACAGGCTGCCCAGGAGCCCCAGCAGCTGAGCCAGAGTCAAGGTGCTGGAGGCCTTCTCCTGGTGCAGGCCTCAGAGCTCCTGCCCAGGGCCCCTCTGACTTGCTAACGCCCTGGAATCATCCCTAGTTTCCCTTTCCTCATCACCCCTCTGTGCCCTTCCAATCAAGGCCACACTATGGCCTCAGGCCCCACAAGTGATCTGCCCTTCTTGTCCACCCCCAGGCTCCAAACACTGCCCGTCATTGCCCCAGTTTCTCCGGACAATGGGCATGCAGGGCTCAGCCCCCAAGCACGCCACCCGGCTCCCCTGCACATTGCCCTGTAGTATTTTGTGTACAGCATTGAAGAGCTGGCGCTGACATCCGGAGCTGAGTTCCCTATGTGCGGTAAATACATCCTAAACTGGAGGGAGCGACTCTGTCGCTCACCGACCAGCACTGGCTGAACCAGAGGCACTGCGGCCTTTAGTTTCAGAGCCCGGGAAAGGATACGGTCATGAGGACACCCCCGAAAAGGAACATGAAGACGAAGTCGGCCGTGCGGCCGCGGAACGAGCCCTCCTCCAGCATGCGGCAGTAGCGGAACCTGCGGCGTCCGTAAAGGAAGTGCCACCAGGCAGAGCCTCAGTTTCCCCACAGCGCGCATCCCCCAGCCCGGCGACCCGCCCACCGCCCCACGCTTGGGTCCGCGCAGTGCAGGATACACGAAGAGCATGTTGAAGAAGAAGCTGAATCCCAGCGGCCCAAAGAAGAGGAAGTTGGTGACGAGCCTCCAGACCTACAGAGATGGGAAGGAAGGCGGGCGGTCAGGCGCAGGGCCGGCAGGGCCCGGCTGTCAGGTGCCATGGGCGGGGCCGCCTCACCTGGAACTTCCGGAACACGAGGTGTGGGTTGAAATAGAGCTGGAAGGGGCTGAGGAGCTCCAGCTGCTGCGGAACCAGGGACGCGTCAGGTGGTGCCCCCGGGAACGCAGCGGTAACCATGACGACACCCCTCCCGGACTGCAGCCATGGAGATGCCCCCACCCGTCTAGCCAGCTTACCACAGCAGCGGTGGTAAGGACGCAGGCCGCGGTGTAGGCCCGCGTCACCGCGGGCACCTGCAGGAACTCGGCCATCAGCCCTTGCCACGCCATTGAAACTTCTTTGACACGCGTGGCCCAACCTGCTGCGCGCTCTTTAACCCGCCTACAAAGCCCGCCTCACTCTCGAATTCGGCCAATCCGCGTCGGAGGCGCCGCGTGCCCAGGGTCGAGGGAGGGACCCTGGGCCCAGTATCCAATAGGAGGAGGAAGCGGGAAGCCGGGGGCGGGACAGGGGTGGTAGGCGGGTCGGAACTCGGGACCAAAGAACAGGCCCCACGGTTGAGCACGTGGCGGTTGTTGTGATGGCTGGCGTGGCGGCGCGGGAGAACGTGTGACCAATAAGGAACGGGTCGCTTCGCGGCCAGCTAGAGAGAACCAATAGCGAGGACGCACAAGATTTTGGGGGCGGGACTGAGGTTACTCCGCGAGTGAAGAGGGGAAAAGACCGCGGAACTGCGAGACCGGAAGGGGCGGGGTCACACTGGGAGGTGGGCAAGGCGGAACCAACCGGAGTCTGGTGTTGGAGGCTCTGTGAGTCCACCTAGCGCCGCCAAACGCTTGGTCCCGTCCTTCTCTCCTACTGACAACCAAACACAGTGCCACCTGACCCTTAACAGAAGAGTTGCTCAGCACTGTGTCCAACCACCCCACCCCCGTACCCTCCTGCAGTCCACTTGACCCCACCCCGACTCCTGCGGGCAGTCTTCGAACCCAAAACGCCAGAGTGCCAACACCGGCCAGAGCAAGTGAACGGGCTGGAGAGGGCGTCTTCTTCTTCTTTTTTTTTTCTTTAAGATTTTATTTATTTGACAGAGAGCACGTGCACAAGCGGGGGGAGCCGGGAGAGGGAGAAGCAGGCTCCCCCACGGAGCAGGGAGCCCGACTGGGGGCTCGATTCCAGGACCCTGAGATCATAACCTGTGCGGAAGGCAGACGTCTTAACCAGCTGAGCCACCCAGGCACCCCGTTTTCATCATTTTGATGGAAAAGAGAAACTCCGTTTATTCATTCATTAAGTCCACTGTTTACTGAACACAGATTGTGTGCCAGGCGCTTTTCTGGATGTGGGAGATACAGCAGCCAAGAAAAGATGAGGAGACGGGTAGTCATAGGCCCGTACTAATATGAGAGCTTGTGTTCCCACGACAGTAAACTGACACAAATAATGCCAAGACTGGAGGGTTGGGTCGTGAGCCATCACTGCAGGTGGGGTGATCTGAGAAGCCTCTGCAAACAAGTGATGAGCAAGTGACGCTTGATTGTCACTTTAAAAAGACCCCTGTGGCTGCTGCAAGGACAGTAGACTGCCTGAAGAATCAGCGAGCTGGGGAGACTGCAAGGCACAATGGTGGCTTGGGCGGGTGGAGCCTGGAGCATGGGGGAAGGGTGGGAGGCGCTTTTGCCCATTGATGGGACAGAGCTGTGAGAGAGCAATAAGGGTGACTTGAAGGTCTGAGCCACAGGGTGGATGGATGGTGGTGGCCTTTACCAAGATGAAAAACGCTTGGGGAAAAGGAGAGCAGATGGAATCCCATTATGGCCCTGTTGAGTTTGGGGCATCTGTGTGACTTCCACCTGGAGAAATCTAAGGGTGGTGTTGGGGGAGAGATTGGCCAGGCAGTCCAGTTGTGGATATCAGTCCTCTGTACACCAGTGGCCTGTGTAGTCTTGGGCCCGTGTGAGGCATCCATGGGATAAGGCTAAAGGGAGAGGAGATGAGGCCCTGCCTGGGCGGCTTACCGTTCAGTGGTCAGAGAAGGCAGACCTGGCCAGGGAGGCCCGGGGAAGCTGGAGAGGGCTTCTAGATGCTGAGCCAAGAAAGGGCCTCCGGAGCAAGGCAGTGAGAAGCTCACAGAGATGAGGCCCGGGAACGGTGGGACGCAGCCGTGCCAAAGCCCCTGTGGCCAGGATACTGGAGGATAGGAGGAAGAGGAAGGTGCCCAAACAGATGTGACTTTACCAACATGGGGAGCTCAGGTGTGGACATAACTGTAGAAGACAAGGAATGCCCTAGACCAGAGCACTGAGGTCGCCCGAGGAGACTGGAAAGGCTGAGAACCAGCTGACAGAGTTATCTCAGGTGGATCCTGAGAAAACAAGGGTGCTAAGAGGGGTTCTCTAAGGAGTGGCTCAAAGAGTCCCCAGGGGACAGGAGCAGAGGGAGAGGCTGAAAGCATGAAAGGGCGCTGTGCATTTGGCTCCGGAGTGAGAACAGGTCTGGCCTGATAACAGTGGGAATTGGATTAACATGCTGAGAGTTTGGGTGGTGGGACCCCCCCCTTTAGATGGCCTCCATTGTCCAGCAAAGCAGGCCAAGGTCATGTTTGAGGTGGGCCCAGTGGAGTAGATCCCATCCGGGTGGAGGTAGGGCTGCAGACGCCAGGGCTGGCACCTGCCAGGCAGGAAAGCCATCCTGGGAGGTCAGGTTTCATGCCCGTGTGGGGAAGTGGGGGTATTCCTGCCTCCAGGCACCCAGCAAGCTCTAGGCCCTCCACTCAGGGTCAGGCCAGGGCTAATAGGAGGGGCTGTCATTGTGGACAGGGGCATCTGTCTCCCCTCTGATTGGGGCTGATAAGGCAGGCGCCTTGCTTAGGGACAGACAGAGAAGCACATTCCCCAGGGAGCCCGGGGGGCTGGGACAGGTGGGGACATCCAGGGGAACAGTGGCTGGATTTTAGAGCAGATGCTCCCTCCTCAGAACCCTGGCTATTCTCAGAGGGGGAAACTGAGCCCCAGTAGGAGGCACAGCAGGGCCTGAGGCAGACCTCCGTCACCAGTCCAGGCTCTTCCCGTCAGTTGCAGGCCCAGGGCGGTTCCACTTCTCGCCTTAGGCACCTTCAGACAGTTATTTAGGGAGAGGAACCCTGGACTCCCCATGGTCCCAGGGGCCTAGAGATGTGGGCAGGCAGCCTGATGTCTATGTGGCTGCTGGTCTGAAGTGGGGGTTGGGGGGTGAGGGGTGCCAGCTGGGTCCACCCTCCATCTTGGGCTGAGGATGAAGCTGAAGGAGGGCCTGTGGTCCCTGGGCCAGGTGACAACGAGCCCTGCTCCTCAAGCTGCCTCTCTGGCCTTGCTGTGTTTTCCTTTTGACATGAATCTGCCCCTTTCAGACCCTGGGCCTCCTCCATCAGGGGAGCTTTCCCTCAGGGGCTGGGAGCTCAGTGCCAACCCCCTTCCTGCACATGGGCCCCCAACTGTGGTGGGAAGACCGCCCCCACAACTCCAGCCAGCCCCTCCCAGGAGCAGCTGTGTCCCCGTTGGCCCTTCCTGTCTGGGTCATGGTGTATTTTTAGCACCGAATCCGGAACCTACTCAGCAACAGCCGCCTGTGGCCGGAGTGCAAGAACAATAAACCGTCCAGGTGGGCTCTGTCAGGCCAGGGCTGGCCCTCTGAGCTTGGTAGCAGATTCCAGACTTTCCAGGAATTAGCAGGTCTCTGGGGTGGATGGGAAGGGAAGAGGCAGCTTGGGGCTGAGGAAGAGAGCATGAGCCAGGCCCATCTGGGGAACAGTCTGTGCAAAGGTCCTGAGGTGCCATGGTGCGGGTACAGAGAGAGGCAGAAGGCATGGCAAGGAAGAGGGGCTGTATGCACTGTGAGGCTGAGCAGGGCTGTAGAGGCTGCGGTCCCTGCCCCGAAGGGTAATGAGGAGCCCTCTGGGAGTTTTCAGCATGGTGGTACATGCCAGTCAGATGGCAGCTCTCGGAAGGAAGAAGGAGACAAGAAGAGAAGCGCTCATCTGAATGGAGAAGGATGGCAGCCAGCCTGCATTAGGGGTGAGTGACAGAGGGAGGAGGTGGAAGCCACAAACCTTCGTGACTGATTGGCAGACAGGTGAGTGTCGGGGAGGGCCAGGTTTTGGAGGGAAATCTCCCACTGGCTTGGGACATGTCAATTCAGGTGCTGTGGGACATGACCACCTCAGGGAAGCCCTCCCTCCCTGGCCACCCCAGCTTGGTTCTCCCAGCCGCTTGTCACCTACAGCACGGGTAGGTGCTCTCAGCTCACCATGCTCTCTATCCCTGGAAGTCCTCAGTGACCTTTGAGCCTCAAGAAGGCCGAGACCCGTGCTCCAGTGCTGGATCTGCGGCCTGGGGGCTGGCACTGAGACCTGACCCTGCCAAGTGGGCCTCTGTGTCCCAGTCTGTGAAATGGGCAAGTGGGAAGAGCCCATCTGTAGAGCCTCCTTCAGCTGTAGTCTGTCCTGCTGTGGGGAGTATCAGACTCCTGGGACACAGGCGCCCCCCCCCCCCGACTCCCTCAAGGCTGGTCTCTACCCTGAAAGAGCGAGAATGCACCAAGGCAGGACTCTCTCCCCGAGGCTGGTTTTCTCACCTGCCTCCTCCCGGTCCAGAGCTCTCCCAGGGCTGCAGTGGGGAACATTCACAGAGGAACATTCACAGAGGCCTCAAGGGCCTGGGAGGGAGGCAGTAGGGTCTGGCTCTGGTGGGGATATGGGGAAAGATACAGACATTGTGCAGGGAGGGGCCAAGAGTCGTGGGCTTGCTGAGGAAGGACTGCCGGGTGGGCAGGAAGACTCTGGACAATGACAGTGGAGAGGGCACCAAGGCCAGGAGAATGACTTGAGCAAAGGTGTGGAAACATGGAGAATCCATGTCTCGGGCCACCTGGGTGGCTCAGTCGTTAAGCATCTGCCTTCGGCTCAGGTCATGATCCCAGGGTCCTGGAATCGAGCCCTGTATTGGGCTCCCTGCTCAGGAAGGAGCCTGCTTCTCTCTCTCCTTCTCTCTCTCCTGCTCCCCCTGCTTGTGCTCTTTCTTTCATTCTGTCAAACAAATGAATAAAATCTTTAAATTAAAAAAAAAAAAAAAGAATCCATGTCTCACGGAGGCAAGGGCAAATGGGGGCCTGAGAGCCAAGGTTGGAGCCAGTCGCCACAGTCAGAACAGTGGCTCAGCGACCCCCTCACCGGATTCTGCACCCCTCACTGAAGCCCCTCAGTGGGTTCCTCGACCCAGTTCCAATGCATGTGTGTGGGGCATGTGTGTGTGCTCAAGCTTCCCCGCACCCACAAGCAACCAGACCCCAACAGGGTGTCCGAGAATTCCACTCAATTCTAA